GGATCGACGCATCCACCAACAAGCTGTGGCGGTCCCGCAAGTCACTTGTATGCCGATTCTGCAGCATGTGCAAGATACCCTGGATGATCCCGTGTCGACCAGAAACATTTCCCGTCGATTGGTTGAACGTGGCCTGCACTCAAGGCGTCCGTTAAGAAGACTGACATTGACCCCACAGCATACACACGAACGTTTAGAATGGTGCCGGATTGGAGCGATGTGGATGACAGAATGGTGAAACATCGTGTTCTCAGATGAGTCATGCATCTGTTTATCCAGTGGCAGTCGCCGCATACGTGTGTGGCGTCTACGTGGAGACAGATTTAATCCGGCAGTAACTGTGGAACGCCCCACCAAACGACAATGGGGCAAAATGGTTTGGAGCACTATTGCCTACGATTCCAGGTCACCTCTAGTTCGTATTCAGGGCATTATGATGGCCCAACGATACTTGGATAATATACTGTGGCCGGTGGCAATCCCCTACTTTCAGGGGCTGCCTAATGCAATTTTGGCTGATCTTTGGAATATGGTAACAGGTAGTTTCGCGACATTTTGGAGGCGATAAAGGTTACTACCTAGGACTTTGGTAATAATGTGAGAAGTACTCAGTTCCGATTACGCATTATTTTGTGTGAGGGAAATGAGAGATCATGAGATATGTCATGTGACATTAATGGACGAATTACACTTCTGTAATCGGAAAAGGGGGTAAAATTTGGAAAAATATCTGTAATACTATATTATTTTGTATTCAGCTTCATTGTGTTGTGTGAAATAGTGTTGATTAATTTTCGAATTGCATGGTGCTATGTAAAGTGAATTCTAAATTTTTAATGCGTTTATCTGATAATAATAATAATAAATTGAGATTATGTGAAAGGAAGGATATTACAGATAAAGTTTAAATGGCGGTGCAAGAAATCTGGTGAAAATGGACATTTTGTGAAACGGAGTGTAAGGAAGGATACGTGGTTTGCTAAAAGTAGTTTGAGTATGGGTGAAATTTTATTAATTTCTTATTACTGGGTAAATAGACTGCCAGTTGACTACTGGATTTCGGATTTAAAAATCAGCAGTAGTACTGCAGCCGATTGGAACTCTTTCTGTAGGGAAGTGTGCGTGCCACGTAATGAAGATTCTGAAGAAGATTAGGTAAGTTAGTATTTTTAATCATTTGAGGATATTATTTTTATGCATTGTTCTAAATGTAAGAAGTAAATAAATTAATATGGTATTATTGGAAAATTGTTATTAGCAATGATTTAGTTTAAAGTAATTAGGATTGTAATCTAATTTTTATTAATTTAATGTATGTGCTTATTTATATTTTAAGTAGTGTTTTTTAATTTAATTATATTTTAATTAATGATCGCGATTTTGTGAGTTTATGTTTGTAGTATTTTGGAATACGTTTTGAGTAGTATACGTTGAGTATTTTTCATGTATTTTCGTGAAATTTTTCTAATTTATGAGAAAAAAAAAGCAGTGTACATGGATATAGTGAAGAGTGTGCACAATGCCATTTTTGTGCAATTCTGGGATTTTTTTTAAGTAAAAATAAGTCGACGTGTACATGGTTTAGTGATATTTTAATTAAATGATAGTTATTTTGTGAATCTTATGTTTGTAGCAATTTGGTATACGTTTCAGTTGAAAGTAAACGTGCATGGAAAGAATTTAAATATTTGACACTAAGTATTTGTAACCATTTTTAATGTTTGCGGTAGAAATTCGTTGGTGACGTTTATAATATAATAGATAATTTAGAGGTAAAAGTTTTTGGATATTTTATTTATTTTATACAACGAAATCTTCATCCTTGGAAAGGGTATATACTTTTTCGTGATCAGGTAATTTCATATATGTGCTTTTTACAGAGTTTAAAGATTCAGAAAATTTACCTGCATTTTCGTGCAAATTTTTGTAATTTATGAGAAAATAGCAGTGTAGATGGATAAAGTTAAGAGTGTGCGCAATGCCATTTTTGTGCAATTCTGGGATGTTTTTTTAAGTAAAAATAAGTCGATGTGTAAATGGTTTATGTGTATGTGCTATTCTGAAAAACGCGCAAGGAGTTTGCGATTGTGCACTTTTTCCCAATTTTGGAGTTAATATTTGTCATGATTAAGCAGTTTTGTTACATAAAATTTCTAGCATAAGTGTAATTCGGCTAGTAGATTGTTGGAAAAAGTGTTGAGTAAATAAAAGAAAAGAAACATGTCTTTACTTCGTGAAGACAAAATGGTGGTGAAAAAAAAAAATAGAGGGTTGCTGTAGCAGAGTTGGTCGCCACATTTTCGCCAAAAAAACGCCAAGTTACCATAATCCAAAGATCAACCGCAATTTTTCAGCAGGAAAAGGCCCCACCACACAGTGCTCGCATCTGTTAACATGCTCTGCAAGGTATACAGATGCTTCCCCGGCCACTGTACTCTCCTGACCTGTCACCAATCGAACATGTGTGGGATGTGATTGGACAGCGTTTGCAGACTCTACCCCTGCCTCATTCAGAAGATGAAGTGAGACAAATGGTTGAAAGGGAATGGAGAGCCATCCCTCAGGACACCATCCGCACTCTTATTGACTCTATGCCTAGACGTGTTTCTTCATGCATCGCTGTCCGCTGTGGCCCTACATCCTACTGAGCCGACGCCGTTCTCGCTCTGTATTCTGACTATCATTTTGAAATAAAGATCACTTATTGCTGTTGCTGTCTCTGTCTTTTTTTCCATATTTCATCACTTTCTGACCACTCCTTCTTGGCGTTGCATTTTCAATGTCGAGCAGTGTATATGCTATACAGTCAAAAGTCGTTAATTCGGACACCCATAATCCGGACCTCAAAGCTACAAACTTTCTGCGCATGCGTCGCGTTCACACATGCGCACAGGCGTTTACGAGAGCGCGTAAGACCCTTACGGCTGCGAATATGTTTGTGCGCATGCGCGTTTAATGTGTAACGGAGTTATACGCTAAGCTAAAGTTATCTAATTCAGTTAATGTTGCAGATTGCGTTGTTCCTTAATCTTCGATTTGGATCCGGCTTATTATTTTTTTGCAGACTGTTAGAGCAATTTTATAAAAGTAAGCTTGAACTTTCGATTATGTCAAATAGAATTTCCGATATATATTTACTACAAAGCGAAAGTATGTTTTGAAATCCGAAATCTGTTTATCAATTTCCCGCTGCTCTGCAGCAGGGGGGGGGCAGAAACGTCATTATTAGATTATGATAGATTAGAAAGATTATGTCAAATAGAATTTCCGATATATATTTACTAATATGTAATTTGTATCTACAAAGTTTTTTGTTTTGAAATCCGAAATCTGTTTATCAATTTCACGCTGCGGATTGGAAGTTGATCTGTCAGCACTATCCTTATCTTCAGGGCAGATGTTTTTATTTTATTTGGTTTATAATTCCGTACTAAGTATAGTATTTCATCTCGATGTACTCAAGTTCCTCGTCATTAGAATTCGCTTCCGATAGTGAAGAAAGTGACCCAGAGGTCATTGAAAACGAAAATATTTTGATTGACAAATTAGTCGGTATTCTCAACACAGCAATTATAGGACTTGAACAGCAGAACTTTGTAACTAAACAAGAAATTATGTCTGTTTAATAGAATTAAAGAGAAAGTATTATCACATGAAACGAAGCAACTTACATTGAAGGAAATGTTTAATAAAGTAAACAAATAAATATTAAGCTTTTTCTTTTTGTAAATTTTGATACCCTTTAGATCATAATTGTTCTTTATTTCATAAATTACGGTTTCATATTTTTAATTTTGTAATTTCTGCATGCCATCTTACCAGATTTAAACTGATGATCTATAATCCGGAAAAATCGATAATCCGGAATCGCCGAAGTCCCAACGAGTCTGGATTAACGACTTTTGACTGTATTTATATTTGTGTATGTGTGTATATATTTCATTATGTATTCATATCCTTATATATAATTCCTTATATCCATTATATAAAAATTCATATCGTTTAAATATTTAAATTTATTACATAAATTCATGTTCTTTCTGGAACCAGAGGGGGAAGAAATTGCAGAGTGTATGCGCATTCTATATCACGTGCATAATAATGCCTGTGATTCAAATAATGTAGTTGCTCCGGGTTGAATTAGGAACTATGCCAATTTAAGATTTGTTCTGTGCTGATAGTACTGATAATTTTTACTATCATACAAATTTTTCCTTACACAAGAAGTCACGAAAATATGCTCATTGAAAAAGGAAATTCATTAATGTTCAAGGTCAAGTTATGGTGAACAAACAAAAAATTTCTTAAAAAAAGAAAAGATGCAAATGTATATGATAAAATTATGTATTACATTGATTAAAAGGCAATTACAAACTAAGAAAACACTTTTTCATTATACTTTCAAAAGGAAATCAATTGATTCATAGAAACATTGAAGTACAAATGATAAGATGAATACACAAAATCATATATTGGTAGGTTAGTTGTTAAACTAATTAAGATAAAGCACTTAATGGCTAATTACTTATGGGTAGGGATGCTTTCATGGAAGATTTTTTTTTACAGAAACTAGCTCATATTTATATAACACATAGAAAAAAGCATGAAAATCCAAGCAGCCAGCCTATTTGCTGGGAATTCAATTAGAGTTTTTAAACTACTAATATTTAATGGTCTTAGTCACTGTTGGCACCAAAATTATATTTTTTAGATTTTGTGATAAAACTGGATATAAAAACTGAAAATAAGACAAATCAATAAGCTTATGTTCTATGTGTGTGTGTAGAATGGGGATAACCTACAAATACAGCAAAGTTCATTTTTCTAAAATGCTGATTAATTTCACTATGTACAGGAAGTTAAATAATTTTAGGAATTCATAACATAACTTTGATAATGTTTTAATACACATGTAAATTCAAAATAAAAATGAGAAACAAAAATGAACAAAGAAATATGAAATGAAATCATAAACAAAAAATAAACTAAATAAAACTTACCAACAATTACAATAATTATAACAATAATTACTCCGATTATGATAGCCCACATCTGAAACAACAGAAAAGAAAATTAAAGAAACATTAAAAAAGATAAATGTGAGCTTACACGCATGAAGAAAATTTTAAATATATGCATATGGCACTAAACATTTAACTTCTTTATAAACACATAAACATACTGAAGATCTGTGCAATTCAAATGAGCATTAGTTTTAAAATTTTCTTCATGCCTGTAGCAGGAAATCATCTTTTTCCTGCAGCTCACTGAAAACTTGCTTACCTGCAATAATGATTACGATTACTACACCAATAGCAACCATAATGCCAATCATCTAAAATTAAACAGAATAACATTTAAATAGACTCAGGCTTCTGTTATAAAATTTAAAAAATTTAGAACATAGGATGAAAAATAATAACAAGCATTCTTTGTTTCAGATAAAACATTGAAGTATCCTGCAAACTTAACATGCGTTATGATACAAAATTAGGCAAAGCAAGTATTCTGGTATGTATTTTAATTAAAACTATTTTTGTGTTTTACTTAGCCATGTTCCTCTTCTCTCTTGATGCTCTGCAACAAAAGTGGTGCAGCTCTTATGCAATAAAAATATATGCATTAAATATAGTAAACTAAAACTACTCACTGTCCAAAAGTACTAAGTATTTTATTTAATTTCTTTTCACAAAGTTATCAGATATTTCTTTCAATTTGACACCTGTTTCACTACTTTTAAATGACATAAATATGGACTTGTGGCTTTTGGAAAATCTACTTGCAGCTCTTGAACTTTCCTGAATTTCAGCATGCGGCTCTTACTAACATGAAGGCTGGCTACCAGTACTATATAGTGAAGGGGGGGGGGAATGAAATGTGGAATAAATAATAAATACTCCCCTTGCAGTAATTCTATGAACCTGGATTGGTTTGATTATAAGTTTAAAAGAAAATGAAAGGAGAAAAAATTTTAATTAAAACAATAAAAATGCTAAAATTTAAAAATAAAACAATAAGATTTTTAAAAAAAGAAAGAAAAGAAACTATCCAATCATATACACAAATGGATGTATTTACAGCAATATGCCAATAAAATTTCAGAGTAATGCTATTTGTTTAGCTTTAAACTACAATTTTTCTTTCTATTCCTGATTATATACCTATATGTATAATGTCTCACAAAAGTGATGGGACATTTTTAATTTTTATAAATAAAATTAAAACATTTAATTGAATGAAACTGAAATCATAAAACATTTATTTTTTTCTTTCAGGCTATTTTTTTTTCTCTCTAAAAAATTGTTGAACTTGAAAATTAATAGCTTTCCTCTTTATCATAAAAATTGTGTTATTAAAAAATATATTATTCAGATTGAAAACAAAATAATCTACAGTATAATATTCAGAGAATGGCAGAGTTCCAAATGAAAGAAAACATCAAAACAGCAATCACCTGTGAAATACAATGTCAATTTGTTATTTGAAATATTAAAATAATCACAGACTGAATATCTTTGAAATCGCAGCAGAACTTCACATTAATTATGCTAAGTATTTATTAATCCCAAAACTTCAAACTATAACCTTACCTGCAAGTACAATAGATGACAAAGGAAAATTCTATGTCAATGAATGAAAAAAAAAATTTCAACTTTCTTAAAATCTGCAATTTATAAGAATTCTATACATTTGAATAAAGTTTCAATATGTAGAATACCAATAAGGTCAAGTTATGATAAATTAAACTCAGTGGTGCAACAGCCCTAGTGGGCCAAAGCCTGCAGTGCCCCCGAAATCTGCTATCTTGACCTTGGGCTCCAGAGTGCATCAGCATATGCCCTGGGCAAGTGATCAGCTTGTGACAGGAGACAGACTTATCAAGGGAAAGTTGCCCCAAAACCTAAATCTTCAATTACTCAATTTGTGTTTCATCATCCATATAGGCAAGGGATTTAAAAATTAATTAAATTAATAATTAATTAAACATCTAAAATTCATGCTCTTTAGCAAATATCATTTCACAGCATTCTCTCACTTTTATATTGGGAAAACCTAGAGTATGGATTAGCTTAGTAATATAATATAAAAATTAAATAAAATACAAACATTAACTGATTAAACATTGGTCAAAATTTCATAAAATGTTTGACAAACATCTACAATACATAAAACATTTCAGATCAAATAAAATTTAATAAGCCAAATTATACTGAAAATAACTAGGGTGGGAAAATGGAATTAGGACAATTTAAGTTTCATTAATTCAATAGATTTCATTTATTGCTAGAGAACACTTTCCATAGTATAGCCAAAAAGTTAAAAATCAGAAGGCTGGGAGATATTTCGAAAAACAGAGAGCTGCCAGCTATGCTTTACACCATTACTGGAATTTCTATGCCATGAAAGATATTTCATTGACAAGAACTCCCTACTTCAGAACAGTATAATCTTGTTATTATTATTCCTCCCACAGATTAATCAATGACCCACACAAAACAATTTAACACAGTTATTAAAAAGTAATTATTGTAAGCTACTGTAAACTGCACTGCACGGGATATAAAAGCAAAGAGGGAAAACCAAAATTATTATGAGTAACTAATGAATTTGCAATTAATAAGAACTGTGATTCATAGAAAATGTTAACATTTAATGTGGTAATAATTTATTTTTCAAAAGCTAGTTTTTTATAACTTTATCTCAAACTGATTTTCAGTGCATGCAAAAATTACCGAAGAGTATAAGAAATTATACAGTATTTTAAATTTTTAGATGAAATACGTATATAAAACTACTTTTTATAAATTCAGATAACAGTATATATATATATTTAATTCAATGTTCCAGTTTCTTCCATTGTGAAATGTTAAAGATTACAGTGATAAAATGCTTACCTTACAATTTTTCCACCAAAATTTCCTTTTAAGTTTTCCAGCCTGCTGTTCAAATTGCGATGCACCTTGCTGCAAAGCATCTACAAACAGCACCAATAAGAATGCAAATTAGAAAATTTAAAGCAAAAAGATATCATTCATTTATTAAAATTGGGTGCTTCAAACCAATGAAGGTTTTTTAACATACATCTTGGGATATCTTAAGATACATTAGATATATTTCTTAAATTTCTTAAATCTTGGGATATTTTAGTTTTGGAATACTTAAAAGAAATTTCATTAACCTAATTCATTTTACTTGGCTTATTGAGCTTTACAGCTTGTGATTAATGTGGTCATTTTATTTGTAAATAATGTGGACATTATTTCTATGCAAGAAAGTGAAAAATTAGTAATTATTTCCAAAATAAAGGAACAGCAATGTACATCTTGAAAAAAAATTAAAATATCAGAAAAACAAGCAGAAAAGAAGATATTTGATAAATATTTTCAAAAAGGATTTAGATTTTTCTCAAATGTTTTAAAATTAAACAAGAATTTTGGAAGAATATATACATATATTGTGAAAATTCCCTCAGACAACTACCTCCCAGGTTGCAGACAGTTGCGGTTCTCTAAAAAGATGACTGACTTTAGAACAGAGATGGGCAAAACCACTCTTTTATGTAATCAGATCAAAGCCATTTTTTCACTGAACTAATTTTTTATGGAACTAACAATAAGCTTAATGAATAAGATGGGAAAAAGAAGTGAATGAGAGCAATGTGTGACAATCAAGCAAGAGTGGAAAGAATCGAACATGCAGCAAGCTTGATTCAATTGAAGGTCTGACTTATTCAATTGATTCTTTCAACTGCACATTTGAAATTCCTTAAAACCTCCTTTTCATATAGGACTACCAATAAAAGTCTGGAATTTTAAAAAAAATGTTCAAAAATTTGGGAAATGTTAAAAATATAAACTCGCTTTTAACATGGAAGGAGAATCTCCCTCCCCTAAAATGGGAATCAAACTGCCGTGGCACACATCCAACAAGAGTTCTCAGTGGTTGAAATCTAAATAAGCTAACACTCCATTTTTATAGAATCATGTTCTCTCACTCAGTACAGTAAATCATTCTTTGAATCAGTTTGGTCCACCACTACTTCAAAAAATGATATTACCTGTGATGAAAGTGCTGAGGTTTATATACACCTTTAGTGATCACTTTCAGAAAGAGTCTCTAAGGGCAGTGACTGCCATGAAAGCTTCTACTGTACATACACGAACACACACAGCATTATCACATGTGTATATACATGTTACTGAACTGATCCAGAAATTTTGATTTTTTTTAATCCTTTACAAAGAGCTGATATATATTCATGACAAATATAATGGTGAATGTGTATCAGTCATCCATGAATCATTAATACCATTTGCATTTACAAATAATTGGTTTCAAAATTTTTTCTGCAGTATATTTAAGTTCATAACATCAATATTACTCTGCAGATATATAAAAACTCAATAGATTTTGCTGCATTATCAAAAGCAAAAGTATAATTTTTTTTCTTATTATGGATCATAAAATTTTGTATATATATTCTTAAAAATGCCACAAATAAATTACCACGGAGAAACTTTTTTTAAATGCAAGGCAAGAAGCAAATTATTACAGTGACATAGGATTCACACTTTCACTCAGTGTTTTTGTTACTTATGTACAGGGTGGCCTGAAAGTCACTAGACCATTTTAAAATGAAATAACTTATTATTTAGCAATAATATACATTTATTCTTTCATAATCAGAAAACACACTTCTCGGAAATAAATTTTATTCATCTTTGAAAAATACACTCCTTAAACAACCATCATTTTGCTCTTCACACTGCCACTCTTTCTGAGTAGATAAATCATCATATCTCATAATGTTTGTTGGCTTATTTCTGCAATACCTTCATGGATGTTGGCCTGCAATTGCTGAATGGTTTGAGGATTGTTATGGTATATGCTTTCCAATTTTCCAAGGTCAGCCAGAGGCAATTATGTCAGGAACACATGATAGCCACTTGAACAATTTTGCAAAATTATCCTTCTTCCAAAAACTTGGCTTAAGAGTTTAGTTGTCAAGCAAGTTTTGGAGTTTCAGACTTTTAAGACAAAATTTTAGAAGAAGGATAGTTTTGCAAAACTCTGAAATCGTGGGTTTGCCATGCTGACCTGACTTAGCTGCTCTAGATTTCTTGACTTAGCTGCTCTAGAGTTGAAACAGAAAATATAATAAAACTATCCTTGAACGATTGAGCAATTGAAGGAAAACATCTGTGAAGAAATTGCAGATATAAATCAAGAATCAATATGACAGGTGATGGTTTATTCTTCAGAAAGAGCATATCAGTGTGAAAAGCAAAATGGTAGTCATTCAAAGGATGTAATTTTCAAAACTAAAATTTATTTGCTGCAACTTAACTGCGAAATGCAAATACAGAGTGCTCCATTGCTTTAATCATTCAGCACTAGTGGTATCAGATATGCAAAAAAAAAGTAAGTATGAAAAACAAAAGCATGAGCAGGACACTTAAAACAACGATATTTACTGCAATAATGGATAGCATTTGACAATTTAAAAAATAAGAAATTTTTATTTTAAGTAAGAAATAAAAACAATTATATGCTTTTATATAAACTGCAGTCTTGAATTATGTAAAGATTATGCTTTTGTATAAGCTGCAGTCTAAAAACACAAAGCCAAAAAAGCCAAAACAATATTATAAAAGTCTTAATGCACATAACAAGTTCTTTTCATAAAGGTTCAGTTAATTTTGGTCACAGTACATACATGACTAAAGTGCAAAAAACAATGAACAACATGGTCAAATAAACCAATGACCATTAATTAATGCCAATACAAAAACGCAAGGTATGCTTGTCTGCACAGTGAAGAGAAGTGCCATCTCCAAATGTCCTGCATCAAACTTCATAATAAAAATATTTAGAAACATGAGATACCTTGGGGGTCATAATTGATGACACTCAATTAGATCTTACACCTGAAAGAGGTCAAGGGATGACTACACAGGTTATTCCAGTCCATGCTTCAGACAGCCATTCGGACATGGGGGTTTCTTCAAAGATGCTAAGGATACGGTACACAGTAGTTGTAGAGCACACTGTATTACATGGGGCCTCAATGTAGACATAACTGTCACCACCAAAATGGAGAATCTGCTATGCTCGGCACATCCTAAGCATTTACTGGGGATGTAAAAATTCACCTACTAATTCATTAAATGTGCTTCCAGAACTGCCTCCTCTGCATCTGACAATACTGCCCAAGAACGCAACAGTACATGTGCTCAGACTCGAAGAAACAAGTGTGTGGGATAGGACCTATGTATATAATGACTATCAGCAAAGTATCTTGGAGCCACTCTCCTAACTGGCTGAATTTAATGTTTCGAATAACTGTTAAATCTCCAGCTTGGTTCAAAACTACCACAATCTACACTGATGGGTCAGAAGGAGAATGCAGCACTGGTAGTGGATATTGCATACTACGTAGAAGCCAGATCATAAAGACTTTACTATGAAAGCTCAGGTAGCACAACTCAGTTTCTTAGGTTGTGTTAGCATCTTGTCTATGACTATCTGAATATATATGCAGACAAGTCAAATTAGTGTCTACTGTTCAGAAATATATATATATGCAGACTCTGCCTTCAGGCAATGCAAGACGCATAACATGAAAATCCACTCATCAAGGACACAAAAAACTTTTTAATTAGTATATCAGACAACTATAAACCCAAACCCCGGTGGGTACCTGCCCATACTGGAATACTGGGCAACGAAATTACAGATGCAAGAAGCAAAAGAGCAGTGACTGAGCATCCCGTATGCACACTTGATGTGCCCCTCCCTAGTTTATTCTAAAAAGCTGAGCTCAAGAAAGAATTACTGACATCCTTGCAACATATGCAAGAAACAGAGATTAATGGCAAAAGAGTCAAATTTTCAAAACAATTTTGTTTCACAAAAGTAGGTCAGCTTTCCAAAATGGGCTCTCTTCACCTTACAGTTTTTAACAGGGCACTGGCCTTGAACAACTTATCTGCATCACTTTAGATGATGTGAAAACAACCAGTGCTCATTCTGGATGGCAGGGGGACTGGATCACTATGCGTTCAACTGCACAACAGCTAGCAGTGTGCATGGGCTAAAAATTACTATGCTCTAAAATGAATACACAGTTGCATGAATATTGCATTTAATATTTCAAACAAGCTGGAATAACTCTCAGCTGCCAACGATATTGTCAGCGCAACCTCTACATGTTCTGTATTTGTGTTAACTGTATTTTGTTTTAGTATTATATTTTAAGTTTAAATGTGTAGGTATTTGACATACCTTTAAATTAACATCAGTTACTGTAAATTAATCTTTTGTTACCTTACTTAATGTATTACAGTGAAAATTGTTTAACATGAAACTGAGGGGATTGAAATATTTTTTCATGTTAATGGATATTGCAAACAATATATATATATATATATATATATATATAGATAGATAGATAGATATATTAACAAACATGTATATATGTAAAAAGCAAATTTAAAGTTAAAATAATTAAAAAATGTGCAAACATATAAAAGATTTGATTTTCGAACTATTCTACAATATCATTTAAATTCAGATAGTATAAGTAAATCAAGTGCAAAGCCAAACCATATACACTGGTGTGCAAAAATTAAGGACGAGACGATTTTTTCAATATAACTTTCTACAAAAGCTTTCCAAATCAACACATTTAATACCGTAAGATCCCCAATACGTAAGGACATGAGTAATGTAAGCAACACTTACTAAAAGAGAAATCAGAGGGATAAAAAGAAGCTTTATTGAAAAAGTAGCATGGAGCGCAATGCGACTGAAGGCCGAAACATCCCTGTGATGGGTGTCCAGCAAGAAACATCCAATCTTTAATAGGGGATATGATCTCCCCTGACTGCTAGGCAGGTTTCACAGCGTATGCCCATGCTGAGAATGATGGTGTCAATGAGTTGTTGAGGCGTTGCTGCCCATTCGTCTTGCAGC